TTAAGAGGATGTATGTCCATCGAAGCATTCCTTTCAATTTTAAATTACAGGGAAACTCCTGATAAAATTTTGAGTTTACTTTGACCAAAGTTTTGAAGATACTTCAGTATACCCTGCAATTTGCAGTATTATGTAATGAACGTCTTTGTTGTTTTTTTCCTGTTTTGTTTGTTTGTCTGTTTAATGTTCCTCATCGAAGTGGAGTAAGAGTTCGTCGTGATTTGGGTGGAGTTTGCCAAGATATGTGGGCAGCGGCCGGCAATAACATGGTTGTTGGGACGGATCTGGCAGTAGACACTTCAGCCACTGCCACGCAATTGTTTAGTCTTACGCCACCGGGTATCACCAAGCTAAGTCAACCTGTATACACAAAGTTCAAAGGTGAGGTTGATAACAGTCTGTGCAAGGGTGTATCTCATTGAGAGAGGGTTAATATTACAGCCTTAGTCTTTTACAAAGTTTTTTTTTCCGTGGTAATCCTTTCCAAACTACTTTTAGACAGGAGGTTTTTGGTGTCCCAGGGGGAAATGATAGATTGCGTTCTCTGCAAGCTCTTTAAATTTTCATGTGGAGAACAAATCGAAGCTGCATGAAAATTCACAATAGAGGATTATAGTTATTTCTGGGTCCTTTAGGACCTCCAAGAACAGTTGGAGAGATCTAAAAAATCCGAAATTTAAATTTAAAATAGGGAACGATGTCTCTGGTCCGACACATTCGTTCTTGTAGCTTGATACCCTCTCCAATCTGCAGATCACTACTCTTGGTCTTAAACAGCAGAAGCCTTGTTCTTGGACAAGCCAATTTAGGAAGTTCCGTTTTATCTAACTTGCGAAAGATCTTCGACCTTTTTTCTTAAGACATGATTGAATTTTCAACCAAGATTTCTCAGCGAAGTAATCTATTCTTTTGGCCTAGGCCAAGTTTCCAAAAGCATAATCAGCTCTATTTCAGATCTATAGGCATTTAAAGTCAACATTTGTGATCATATTTAGAAAGCGATATTACAATACACTCTAGTAATTTCCTCATGTCTTTGGAAAGCCCTTCTAGACAACTACATTGCAGACGAGACCAAACCAGAGGAGAGCGATGCGAATAAAGTGAATGAAGAAGATGACTTTATAAACACTATCGCTGTCCCTGGCGGGCCTATGCATTTCGCCTTTCAGTACCTAAATGCAAGCGGAAAAACCACTGCTGTTGTAAGTTATCTAATCATTCCTTATATCAATTTGGTAAAATTCATTCGATTGTGGGTAATGTACCGGAATGGCATTAGATTTTCTTGACCTCTGTGTAATTTACACCCTGCTTGGTTGTAGCCCGCGTTGTGGTGTGGCCGGACTGCCATGCAGGAAGTCTTTGGTTTAAGCCTCAGAGCGGACCAATACCTAGGGTCTTAAATTAACTGAGAGGAATATGCTGCCTTTGCTATGACATTCCCAAATGGCTAGACATTCTAATCTACTCGGATAAGGACGATAAATGGTGGGCCTCGTCTCGTGCATTTTCTCTGTGCTGGTTAGCAGGGAACGTTGAAGAACCCGCGCACTTATCGCACAGAGTGGAGGACGTAGCTCCCGGTGTTGTGGTCTGGCCTTGTCCTACGCTCGTGACAGGACAAAAAAACATGTCTCTCTGAACAACAATTATTTCCGTGCTTTATTAGGACTTAGACGCTTTCAAGCCAATACTGAAGACCATGTGGTTCACAAAGTACCCAAAAGGAGGAGGCGTGCCGACCTACTCTGGATTTGAACACACATTTGTTGGTAAAACAAGGAAAGACTACTGTAATATCAAGTGCACATGCTGTTGTTTAAGTATTAGTTTGCCATCGCCAAGTTTCTTGGGGATAGGACGGGATGGATTCAGTACCCTCCTCTCTCTCCTTTTCATTTATTTATTCAAAAGATGTTACTTTTCAGCGTTCGTCTTATACCCGTCAATTCATAAGGTTCAATGAATATTTGTTGTAAAGTGTAGGAGACCATAGTCAAATACTGCTTGTGGCATTTGGTCAAAATAATATTTCTTCCTAGAGGTACTAAACATCAGCTCAGTTTCGATTAGTAAAAC